CCTGGGGTAAGGGGGGGGTTCAGCTTTGGGGGGTGGGGGCACAACTGGGTCCCCTTTTTGGGGAGGGGGGAGGGAGCTCCTGATGCCTTTGGGGGCTGGGGGTGTCAGGAGCCGGGGGTCCCCTTTTGGGGGGCTGGAGTCCCCTTTGGGAGGGGTTGGGGGTCCCCTTTTGGGAGGGGCTGGGGGGCTGGGGTCCCCTTTGGGGGTCTGGGGTCCCCTTTTGGGGGCTGGGGTCCCTTTTGGGAGGGGTTGGGGGTCTGGGGTCCCCTTTTGGGGGCTGGGGTCCCCTTTGGGGGTCTGGGGTCCCCTTTTGGGGGGCTGGGGTCCCCTTTGGGAGGGGTTGGGGGGCTGGGGTCCCCTTTTGGGGGGCTGGGGTCCCCTTTGGGAGGGGTTGGGGGGCTGGGGTCCCCTTTTGGGGGGCTGGGGTCCCCTTTGGGAGGGGTTGGGGGGCTGGGGTCCCCTTTTGGGGGGTTGGGGACCCCTTTTGGGAGGGGCTGGGGGGCTGGGGTCCCCTTTTGGGGGGTTGGGGACCCCTTTTGGGAGGGGTTGGGGACCCCTTTTGGGGACAGGGGGCACACGGCTTTCGGACCTCTTGCGGGGGTGGGGGGGGAGTGACCCTTTTTTGGGGAGGGGGACACCCCCGGGCCCCTTTCCTCGGGGGGATCCGTTTTTGGGGAGGGGTCTCACGCCCCCCCCAGGCGCGGGGGCTCTGACGCTGCTGCTGCCGCTGGGGCTGGTGGGGGTGGTCAGCGCCTGCGTGGGGGAGGGGCAGGGCTGGGGGACCCCCACCCTGGCCCTGCCCACCCCCCCCGCCCTGGCGCTCGTCCTCGCCTGGGTGGGCGCCCACGGGCTGGGGAGCTGCTGCGGACCCCCGAGGGTGAGGGGGGCTGGGGGGGCCTGGGGGGGTGGGGGGGCTTGGGGGATTTGGGGGGGCTTGGGGGATTTGGGGGGTGGGGGATATGGAGGGGATCTGGGGGGATATGGGGCGATTGGGGGGAGGGGGATTTGGGGGGGATATGGGGGAAATTTGGGGGGGCTTGGGGGGATTTGAGGGGTGGGGGATATGAGGGGGATTTGGGGGGGCTTGGGGGTGGGGGATTTGGGGGGATATGGGGGGATTTGGGGGGTGGGGGGCACGGTGGGGGTGGCTCCGGGGCTCTGGGGACACTGAGGAGGGCAGTGGGAGTGGGGAGGGGTCCGGGGGGCTCAGGGAAGGGGTCGGGGGGGTCAGGGAAGGGGTCGGGGGGCTCAGGGAAGGGGTCGGGGGTCTCAGGGAAGGGTCGGGGGGCTCAGGGAAGGGTCGGGGGGCTCAGGGTGACTCTGCTGTCCCCAGAGCCCCGGTGACACCCCTGGAGCCCTGCGGGACCTCGGCTGTGAGTGGGGGTCCCTGGGGGTCCCTGGGGGTCCCTGGGGGAGGGTCCCAGCCCGGCGTCCCTGGGAGGGGTCGGGGGTCCCGGTGGGACTCGGGGGGGGCTCAGGGTCCTTTTGGGGGGGCTGGGGTCCCTCCGGGGGTTCAGCTCTCCCTGCGCTGCCTCAGGGCTCCTGGCGCTGGGGGGGGCGCTGGGGGGGGCTCTGGCCCTGGGGGTCCCCCTGCCCCCCCTCTGCCCCCTCCTCCCCCCGCTGGCGGCGGCCGCGTCCAGCGTGGCCTTCGGCCTCGGGCTCCTCATCCTCGCACGGCGGCGGCTGCGGGGGGGGGGCACCGGTGAGTGGGGGGCTGGGGAGGGGATTTCGGGGGGTGGGGAGGGGATTTGGGGGGGCTGGGGAGGGGATTTGGGGGGGTGGATGGGGTGGGGAGGGGATTTGGGGGGTGGGGAGGGGATTTGGGGGCTGGGGAGGGGATTGGGGGGGTGGGGAGGGGATTGGGGGGGTGGGGAGGGGATTTGGGGGTGGGGAGGGGATTTGAGGGGGTCACGGCTGCGCCCCCCTCCCCCCCCAGGACCCCTCGTGTACGAATTCTTCGTGGGGGGAGAACCGGGGTCCCCCCTGGAGCCCCCCGAGAGTCTCCACTGGGAGCGGGTCGGGCTCTGCGCCTGGGTACGGGAAACTGGGGGAACTGGGGGGCACTGGGGGGAACTGGGGGAACTGGGGGGCACTGGGGGCACTGGGGGGCACTGGGGGAACTGGGGGCACTGGGGGGCACTGGGGGAACTGGGGGCACTGGGGGGCACTGGGGGAACTGGGGGAACTGGGGGGCACTGGGGGAACTGGGGGAACTGGGGGGAACTGGGGGAACTGGGGGGCACTGGGGGAACTGGGAGTGACTGGGAGGGACTGAGGCTGACTGGGGGGAACTGGGGGGAACTGAGGGTGACTGGGGGGCACTGGGGGGCACTGGGGGTAACTGGGGGTGACTGGGGGGCACTGGGGGGAACTGGGAGTGACTGGGGGGAACTGGGGGGAACTGGGGGGCACTGGGGGGGAACTGGGAGTGACTGGGGGGACTGGGGGGAACTGGGAGTGACTGGGAGCACTGGGACAAGAGGTGGGCCCGGGAGGTTAATGGGCTCGTCCCCCCGTTGTTCCCCATCTTTGCCCACCCGTGCCTGTGTCCCCCTGTGTCCCCCCCCATGTCCCCGATGTCCCCCCAGCTGCTGGTGCTGGCGGCAGCTCTGGGGGAGCAGCAGCGGCTTTGGGGGTCCCCGTCGCTGCCCCTCGCGCTGGTGGCGGCCGCTCAGAGTGTCCCGGTGCTGCGGCGCCTCAGGGTGGGGGGCGCGGGGGGGGGGGGCACGGGGGGGACCGCACGAGTTGGGGGGGGTCGAGGGGCACGGGGGGGGGGACATGGTGGGGGGAAACTTCCCGGGGGGACCCCCAAGGCAAAGGGAACCCCCCAGGCCAGGGGGACCCGGTGGGTGGGAGGGCTGGGGGGCTGCGGGGTAGGTGGGAGGGCACGGGGGGGTCCGGGGGGGGTGTATGGGGTCAGTGGGAGCGTCTGTGGGGTCTCCAGGGGGGTTTTGGGGTCTCCAGGGGGTGAGGTGTGTTTTGGGGGGGTGGGGGGGGGCTCACCTCTCCCCCTTCCCCAGGAGCTGAGCAGGAACTGCCCCCCCAGTCCCGGGGGGTTCCTCGGAGTGTTCGGGGCTCTGGCCTGGGGCCCTTTTGGGGGTCCCCTCCCGGCTCTGCTGCTGCTGCAAAGACCCCAAAACAGGCTGGGGGGAGCCGGGGGGGCTGCCTGTGGGGGGCTCTACGGTGGGCACAGGGGAGCACTGCAGCAGATTTGGGGGGACCTGGGGGGGTTTGGGGTTAATGGAGCACTGGGGATTAACTGGGGGAATGGGGGGGGGGCGGCAGGGCTGAATGGGGGCGGGGGGGGTTCAGGGGGACCTGGGGGGATTTGGGGGGTGTCAGTGAGGGGCTGGGGGGGATTTGGGGGTGTCAGTGAGGGGCTCGGGGGGATTTGGGGGTGTCAGTGAGGGGCTCGGGGGGCTCGGGGGGATTTGGGGGTGTCAGTGAGGGGCTCGGGGGGCTCGGGGGGATTTGGGGGGGTCAGTGAGGGGCTCGGGGGGATTTGGGGGTGTCAGGGAGGGGCTCGGGGGTCTCGGGCAGTTTGCAGTGCCCTGACATCCCCCTCCCCTTCTCCCCCAGCCCTGGGGCTGTGGATCTTCCACGGTGCCACCACCCAGAGGAGCCTCTTCAGCCGCGACCCCCGAGACCCTCGAGTGGCCGGTGAGACCCCCAAGCCCCGGACCCCCAAACCGCTGAGGATCCCCAAATCCGGGACCCCAGAGGCTCCCGTTTCCCCCCCAGGTCTCCCCACAGTCCCCACGGCCACGGGGCAGGTGCTGCTGGCGGGGGGCTGGTGGGGGCTGGTGCGACGCCCCGATGACCTCGGGGAGCTGCTGATGGCCTTGGGCTGGACCCTCCCCTGCGGTGAGACCCCCTCCTCGCCCTGCTGGGCACCCCCCCTTCGCTGGGGTCCCCCCAAAACCCTGTGTCCCTCCTGAGCCCTCCCGGACACCCCAGCCCCTCAAAACCCTTGCAGACACCCTGAACACCCCAAAAAACCTCCCCCCACCCTGCAGCCCCCCACATTTGGACCTCCCCTGACCTCCTTCCCAAACACCGGGGGTCCCGTCCCTGCCCCACTGGCACCTTGCTGGGTCCTCCCCTCTCCCTCCCCCAACACCCAGACCCTCCCCACTGCCCAAGGACCCCCCAGTCCTGCCCCCCCGAGCCCCCTGACCCCCGTGTCCCCCCAGGGCTGTCCCCCTGACCCCCGTGTCCCCCCCAGTCCTGCCCCCCTGACCCCCGTGTCCCCCCAGGGCTGTCCCCTGACCCCCGTGTCCCCCCAGGGCTGTCCCCTGACCCCCGTGTCCCCCCAGTCCTGCCCCCCTGACCCCCGTGTCCCCCCAGTCCTGCCCCCCTGACCCCGGTGTCCCCCCAGGGCTGTCCCCACCGCTGCTGCTGCTCCTGGCAGGGGCCGCGCTCCGCGAGCTCCGAGCGCTGGTGGGGGAGCGGCGGCAGCGGCGCCGCTTTGGGGGGGCCTGGGGGGGCCTGTGCCAGCGTGTCCCCCACCGGCTGCTGCCCCTCGTCTACTGAGACCCCCCTGCGACCCCCGAGAGACTCCTTGGGACCCTCCTGGGATGCTCCACGTTGCCTGTGGAACGCCCAAGCCCACCCCCCCATCTACCGCGGCGCCTTCGGGACCCCCCCAAACTCCCACCCCCAAATTTACTGACACCCCCAAATTTACTGACCTCTCAAAACAACTGAGGGACCCCCCTGGGACGCCCCCAGCTGCTGAGGGCCCCCCGGGTCACAGGGGCTTTCACAGCCCCATTACTGTGGATAAAGGAAAAATAAATCTTGTAATAGTCTTGGGGTCTGCCCTTCTTTTCTGGCTTTGTTAATGACCGTGTTCATTAGTGCCCCCCTTCATTAACTAGTTTTCCCCTTCGCTAATCACTGCCTCCTTCATTAATAAATGCCCACATCCATCAGCACCCACTTCTAATAACTACTGCCCCGTTCATAAACCAGTGCCCACGCTCATTAATTACCACAAGGAGCTCGTTAGCCAGGTCATTGACAAGAAGGGTCTCTGGTTTTTTGGGATCCGGTTACTCCCACCCCTTCCTGCACAGCTTTCCCGGGCCCTCCGTTAGCCCAGACCCTTAATTAATTCAAGATCTCTCCTAATGGTATTTCATCTCTTGTTGGTCCCATCCTTAATGAGCGTCATTCCTGGGCCTGGTTCGTGGGATGTTCGTTAGTCCCGGCCCTTAACGAGCAGTTCTGGGCCTGGTTCGTTGGGTCTTCCTCGGTCCGGATCACCGATGAGCAGGTTCTCTCCTGGCTCCACTTCCCCGGGGTCTCATTAATCCCTCCCTTGGTGTGTCCTGTTCTCAAAGAGTTGTCATTTCTCAGACTGGTTTCCTGGACATTGCCAAGTCCAGCCCCGAACGAGCCAGGATCTCCTTGGTGCCATCGCTTAACGAGCCACTCCAGGCACGGTTTCCTTGGACCGTCGTTAGTCCTGCCCCTGAAGGAGCAGCTTTCCCGGGCCCGGTTCTCCGGACGTCCGTCAGTCCTGTCCCTCAACCGGCGGCTTCTCTCCCGGGGCTGTTTCCTTGGGGTCTGCCCGTCTCAGTCCAGCTCCTCGATCAGCTGCCGGCCCCGTACCCCCCTGTCAGTACCGACAGCCGGGGGACCCCCAAAAACCTCCTCAACCCTCTCCACGCCGGCCCCGTCCGTGACCATCCAGGGCGTCCGCTCCTCCCGGGGGGGCGGCCGGGGGCCCCCCCAGACCTTCTCCAGCCCCTCCCTGATTTGGGCCACCGCCGCCTCCTCCGCGGCCACCTCGGCGTGAACCTCCCACGCCTCCCGGGCGAGCTGGGCGAGCTCCTCGGTGGCCCCGCGGCTCCAGCTCAGCAGGAACCCGACCTTCCTGCGGGCCGCTCGGAAGCGGCTCCGCTCGGGGGGCGGCAGCGCCCGCGCCCCCGCTCTCAGCAGCCGCCACAGGTGCCACAGAGCCGCTGCCACGTCGGCGCCGGGGTCGCGGCTGTCGCGGCCCTCCAGCAGCTGCGCCACGGCCCGGAGCGTCCCGCTGTCGCCGAGCGGGCAGAGCGGCAGCCCCGCGGCGCGGGCGTCGCGCCGGGCGCTCAGCAGCGCCTCGGCCGTGCTGCCGAACGGGCGGCGGCCGCGCAGCGCGGCCGAGGCGGCGATGGCGGCGTCGGGGAGCTCGGGCAGCAGCGCCTCGTCCCCGCCGTGCAGGCTCAGCGCGAAGGCGTAACCGAACAGCGCGTTCGGCAGCTGGAACCGCACCAGCGGGGACGGGGCCGCGGCGCGCAGCGCGCTCAGCGGCGGCACCGCGGCCGGCACGGGCGGTGCGGGGCCGGGCCGACCCGCGCCGCCCTCCTCCTCCTCCTCCTCCTCGGCCCCCGAGCCGTCCCCGAGCTCCTCCACCCGCCCCCGGCCGCGCCACCACCACGGCCGCCACGGCGGCAGCAGCGCCGCGGCCTCCCCGGAGCTCAGCAGCCGCCGGAACCCGTCGCGCTCCGCCTCGCTGAGCTGCTCCCACAGCCCGCGGCCCGCAGGCCGCGCTGCATCCCCGGCCTCGCGTGCTCCGCGCGGCCCGCGCAGCGCGGGGCTCGGCGGGGAGCTGCGCTCGGCGCGCAGCGCCTCGAGAACCTGATCGCGGTAAAAGGCCTCGGCGCAGGGGCCGTGGGCGCGGTAGCAGCGCAGGGAGCAGAGGCGGCGGTGGCAGCGCGGGCACGTGTAGGGGGCGGCGGGAGCGCTGCAGAGCCCGCACGGAGCGTCCGGCCCGGCCGCCGCCATCTCCGCGTCTGAGGCCGCGCCGCCGCCGCCACCCCGCGGCCGGGCGCGCCCCGCCCCCCGGAGCCGATCGGCCAATCAGGGCTCGCGGGCCGCGTCTCCCCGCCCCTTGGCCGCTTCCGCCACTCGGGTTTTTCCGCCACTCGGGTTTTTCCGCCCCCGCTCGGGTTTCTCCGTCCGCGCTCGGCCCCTTTCGCTGCCCGGCTCTGGGCGCCGTTCGGGCATTTCCGGCGGCACTCGGCTCTTTTCGCCGCCCAGGTGCCGAAACGGCCCCTGCTCGCTAAAACCATCTAATTAAATTAACGCTCCCGCTGATTAGCGCGCTGTCACAGAGCTCCCGGGACTCGAGCGGCCGGGGCAGGCGATGCTCTGGCCGAGAGCCGAGGGGGAAGGACGGCGCTGCCTTCTCGGCACCCTCGGGGGCGGCAGTTTATCGCAGAGCGCTGTTTGATGTCGGATGCTCATTATCAGCTCCTGCGCATCAGGATGCGCTTGGGACTGTCAAGGCACCACGAGTTCGAGGTGCTGGCAGGTTGGGTCTGGGACACATCCTGCCCCATTCAGATTTTTTGAAGGCAACCACCCACTCAGGGCTACAGGATCCTGAACACAAAGACCGGCCCTTTTCCCTGGGAAAGAAAACTCGCCAGCCCAAGTTCCTGATGTCAGTTTGCAGCAGGTGTTTGGCGTTGCTCCGGCGACCAGAATTGTATTTTGGTGCAGCTTTGGTCTGGGATATACGGGGTGCCTCCTCCAAATTTACATCTTCCCCTCAGCCCTGTTCTTCTCTGTCCCTGTCTCCCCCCCTCACCCCTATCTGTACTTCCAGCCCCCCACATCCTACTCTCTCTCCACCCTGCACCCCTCCCCATCCTGCCCCTGCCCCATCCCTCACTCCCCCCACCGCTCACCTGTGGCTCCCCGCAGCACCACATGGGAGCCCAAACTTGTGGGGACAGTGCAGTCCTGGCAGCAGGACAGCACCGAAATAAAACAGGCAGGGAATATAAATAAATATAAAACAGTTTGTGGGCTGCACCGTGTCACAAAGGGACCTGGAGGGTGGCACAGAGGGTGGGGGCAGCTGAGAGGCAGAAGGGTCTGTAGGAGTAAAAAGGGGGCACAGAGACACTGAGAGGCTGCACTGGGGGAATGGAGGGTGACACAAGGAGGCTGAGAGGCAGGGGGTGCTTTGAGGGAAAAAGTGGGGGGTGCCTGTGGGTGACAGGTGAACCTGCCCTCACACCACCCTTAACCGCACCCTAAAAACCACCCCTCCCTGGGTGGGGAGTGCACGGTGGAGGTTAGGGGGCCAAGGGACAGTGTCGGGGCCTTGGGGTGACACGCTGACATTACGGGCTGAGGGGCAAAGAGGGGGGACTTGACAGGTGGAGAGCTGACACTGAGAGTTAGGGGTGCAAAG